GCGCCGAAGGGGGCGCGGCGCCGGCTGCGCAGGCTGCTGGTGCGGAGGCTGGGCACCCGCTTGCTCGGTGGCCTCCGAATATTTGGTGAAAACTAGCGGCACCGCTATGTCCGCCTTGTCTAGCTGGTTCCAGAAGCGGGCGATGCAGCAGGCGCGTGTGATGCACGGCCACGCCATGGTGCTCGCTGCAGAGCTGGCTTTCCTTCTCTTTGCTGGATTCAAAAGCAAGACTCTAATCTTTCTCAGTCCCCTGGCCCTCGACAGGCCAATCTGGTTCCCACCGTATTTTCCTTTGTGACCTGAACTACAGCGCCCTGCTTCCTCAGAAAGCACCCAGGAAGGTCGAGTGGGCAGAGATATCACCGAGATAAAGTCCGTAAAGTCCCTCGATTCCGACTGCAAACGCCTCCGGGAGTTGCCGCAAAGGTCTCGGAGTGCGGTCAGCTGAGAGCACCGCGGAGTGAGAAAAGGCGTCCCCAGATCCCTGGGCGAAGGTGTCTGGGACGCGCCCCTCCCTGCGGCTGCGGCGGCGCGCAGTCCCCGGCCAAGCGAGGCGACGAGAGCCGAGATGGCTGCGGGCTTAAGCCATGGCGCAGAGGAAGGGCTGGGCAGTGTGGCTACAGGGGCTACAGACGAAGCTCTCTTCTCCTTTCCACCGGCGTCCCGTCGCAGCCAGCCACCAGGCAGGACTCTGAGGCGATCACCTCTCACAGAGACCAAGCATTGCTGCCGCCGCCGCTGCTCCCAATGATGCTGCAGCCGCCGACGTCTCTGCTGCAAGGAAGCGGCCCCACCCTTTTCTGTCGCTGAGCAGAGTGGGGGAAAAATCCAGGAGAGATGCTGAGAGAACGCGCTGCAGAAGAAAAAAAAAATCACCTGCTGTCGTCAGCGCGGGCTGCTGGGAACTCGCCCTCTCTCCCCGCCTCCCTAGGATCTGGCAGCTCCTCCCTCTTCAGCTCCTAGGCAACAGCAGAATCCGGGGCCTAGGTGGGTTCAAGTCCCAGACTTCTTATAACTTGCTGTCCTTGTACTGGTTGCCTCCTCTCCGAGAGCTCCTCTTTTGTAAAATAAGGTCAACCGTGTATGTGTGTGTGTGTGATTCAGTTAAAAAAAAATGGAAGAAACCTCTAGTAAAATGTCTCTCCCAGAATAGATGCGTTTTAAAAGGGGAGCGCCTGTTATTGGCCAAAGTCTCTGGGCCGAATTTAAACCCTTTTGCCTGGCTTCCCATCCAAGCACTTGCCAGTATTACGCACAGGCCTTGCTCAGATGTGTGGAGATGGGAATCCCCAGGCTGGTGGTAACTTGCTGTTCCCTTCCTAAGGGACTCTTGGAGAAAGAGGTGTATTAGAGCCTCCCAAGAACTGCCCAGTCCCTGATCAGCCCAGATTTCACACTGGAGGAGAGACAGTGAGAGGAAGATTCTTGAAAGGGGCCTATGTGGGGAGGTTGGAGTGGATGAGAAACAGGGAGACAGTATCCCGGGAAAGGGGAGGGCCTGACATGCAGTGGGTTTCTGACGTGTTCTTGACCCTTGGCCTTCGCTCTTCTTCTTGGGAGGCAGAATATATATTTTGAGGCAGACATTCCTGCTTTGGCTCTGATACTTGTTACCTGTGTCACTTGGGCAAGTTGAGTCATCCCTGTACCTCAGTCTCCTATACTCATCTCATCTATAGAATGGAGGAAATAATAGCTACCTCAAAGTGGTTTTGTGAAGATAGTTAAGGACCCAGGGTAGAAGATTTGAGTCAAAGCAGATCCCAGAGGATTTAAATCCTGGCTTTTGCATGCCTTAGTATGGCCATGGGCATATTGCTGCAACTTCCTATGGTTGAATCTATGAATGGAAATGCGAATTCTCAACCTGCAAGCTTGTTCTCAGAATTAAAATGAGATAATCACTAAAAGTACTTACCACAACATCTGGAATCTAGCAATGGTTCAATAAATGGTAGCTATTAGTATTCACAGGACTCACCCTGGAAACCCAGAGGTGGAGCTTCCCAAGCAGGCTAGCCACTTGAATGCCTTCTCCAGGAAGACCTCTTGTTCTTCCAAGTGTTTCCTTTTGATGTCTCCTTGATGTCCTTGCATTTGTGTCTCCTTCATTGTCTTCCACTTCCTTCTTCTAGCTACATTCACTGGCCTACAGCTCTGTTTCTCTCCAATATAGACAGTTTTCAGCATCAACTAAGCTGGGGGCATTTTTGTCTCTGGGAGAGAAACTCATTTATGTGTTTAGATTGGGAATTGATTGCAAAATACAGCTATTTTTTAACCTTAGAATCAAACAGGATGAGAAGACAGCTCTGATTAGTCAATTATTTGCTGAACTTCCTCCTACTTGGATATTTGCCTCTGGTAATTTGATTTAAGTTACACAAATAAAATGATGCCTGGCACTGTTTTCCAGTTATTAGGAGATACATTTCTATAAACAACATAATCTGATCTGACCCTTCCTCTCCCTGCTTCTGCAGAACTCCTTGGGATTTTGGCTGACCTTTCCAATAATGATTTCCAAAGATAAAATAAGAGGCTAGCAATTGGAGTTGGGGGCCACTGAGAGTCACTGAGACTTTACCCTTCCTTAATTTAGATGTCTACTCTGTGCCTTGGGCACTGTGGAACATAGATGGATTCTAGCTCTCAGGGAGCCCTCAGTTAGAGGGGTGTGTTATGGGAGGACTGAGAGACAGGTACATAAATAAAAAATTAGCAAAGAATATGGTCAGTATAACAAATTTTCATTCACAAGGTGCTGAATGAATGAATGACTAATGACAAATGAGTAGGTGCTCTCCTAGCAGAAGTCCAAGTAGGACTGCTCAAAGCAACTTCATTGTCAATATCACCTTTTACATTCATTTACTTAGATTTTTAAAAACCTGTTCAATTGTACAACCTCCTTGAACCATCCAATGGCCCAATGGGATAGTCAAGTCTAATGGTTATGTGTTATGTGGCTTGTTCAGCATCAATTTTGATGATAATAACACTTCATTATTTGACTTTTGGAGACCACCCCTTTTCTAATTTCAGTCCATACGATTTGGGTGTGGTTAGCCCTATTCAGTCCACCTTCCAGGGGTAACTAAGTGACCAACACCTGTCCACCTGTTTGCCAGGACACTGCATCCCCCTGGCCAAAGTGACTAGTTTAGTGACTGGCACATTGGACCAATTGGAGGAAATCATAGACTTTAGCGGAGACTGTCTGGGAAGACCCACTCTCTTTTTTACTGAATTGCTTAAGTGGGAGACCATGAGGCTAATGTTGTTAGTGACCATCTTTGCCATCACTAAAGGGGAGGCTGCCTGCCTAGGAGTGAAGCAAATGCAGAGACAATCTAAAGAGGACACAGGATTCTGATGATATCTGTGGAAGACTGCAATTTCCCCTTAAGCCCATTTTCTCCTTCTTCCCTTTAGTAACAGAAGCCTCCAAGTTTTAGTTGGGCTCTAGGTCACCCAACCAGAGATGACATTTTCCAACCTCCCTGGCAGTAAGGAACACTCATGTACACTTCTAGATCACTGCCTTAAAAGAAGTTACTTGTGTTCTACTTCATCTTTCCCACTTGCTGAGAGTAGAATGTTGACATGGTAGAGGTGAATTATC